GTCTACAACCAGTCTGAATGAATCGATCCTGTTCTCTCAACTAGCATGTTAATCGCCGCCCCTACCCCACCCCACGCGTCGTCTTTACCACTGTCACACAATTCACAGACACTTTTCTGCTGCATTGTATGTCCGTGTGTGTTCCCTTTTTCGCTCCTTGCCACACTTCAATCGTTCGGCTGGTTTCTACGGCAACGACGACGACAAGCATTCTAAGTCTGTGCATTTCTCGCCACTCTCTCGTTTATTATTATTATTGTTATTGTTATTATTCGGTTGAAGCATTCAGCAACCTTTCAAACAGACTTACATATTGCATCTCAACTGGTTTCCCTCTTTATTTTCAGTTCTTCCAGGTCCACAAACATGCCACTTTTACCTGATTTGTGTGATTGTCCATCCTTTACTTCTTTGGCTTGTTCATCGGTCTGTCCGTCTGTTTGTTTGTTTTATTTTGTGTGATTTTTCATCTTTTATTTTCTTTTTTTACTGAATGAAGAAAGGAACGGAAACGTACAGACAGTATTCCATTCATGGCTTAAATACCAGCTTACGCCCGTATCTTTTGTTGCACCTGCGCGCGTGTGTGTGTCTGGGTTCTCGTCTCTATGATCCGGTCGCAGCTGACGTTCATTCACCTCTGNCTCTGGCCCCGAGCCATTCTCGTTTGTCCACGAGGCTATTTGTTTGCTCATGCAAACGTATACATATACATATACATCCGCTTTTTTCTTCACTTGTCTCCCAAGCATCTGGTTTTATTTTATTTCCTAACCATTTGGGGATAATTCTCACTAACCATCTGACCCAGTTTATGCATGTCTCATCCGCGCGATAACAATCGGGCATATTGTGTAACCTGTTTTATCTGATCCGTCTTCGCATCCACCTCCCGCAGAACTCTCAGCGTATATGCCCATGCGCAGGTTTATCTAAACACACCCACCCTTATATACATTTCCCCCGCGACTCCATTCGGGCCACTGACTCACTAGTTATGGTCTCAAGCTGATTTTGCGTCCCCATCTCCAAACAACGTCCGGTCTCTGTTCCAGTCTATCTCTCTCGCGCACACACACACACTCTTCGCGCGACTGTTGATCTCACTTTCGCGTGCAGTAGATCTCAGTGTTCTCTCCCTCTGCCGTAGAGGTGTTGTTGAGGTCGCTGTGCCTTGATCAGCTTTCTGTTTCTTTAGTTGCGCTCCTTCTGGTCCCGGATTTCTGTTTGTCTGTGATT